TATATATATATATATATATATATATATATATATTAATATTATGTATGAAAAAAATCATATAACTCCTTTCTGTTTTTATCTAACATTCATGACTTTATTTATTATTATTTTTTATTTTTGTTTATATGATTTACTTGTTCTAAATATGTGAGTTTAGAGGAAGTATATGATTTATATTAACAGAAAGTTAATTTACACATTTATCAAAAATATCGGATCTCCTCTGTATGAAAACTGATTTACTTTTTTTTTTATCAAAAATATCAAAAAAATATTTTATCCAAAATTTCCCTTTTTATTTTGATATATTTATTTTTTAATTACTTTTAGTAACAATTTTGATATATATATATATATATGAGGAGGGTTCAAACGACACCGGTGTAACTTTTATTAAGTGTTACACTGCTCAATAACTTTATATTAAATGTGAATTTTGTAAATCCAACTGTTAGATGGAAAGTTCATATCTCTTAGATCATATATGTCAAATTTTGTTAAAATTGAACAACTTGAAGGTAATCAAAGTGTTCATATTTTAGTATATTTTGAAATGTATATATTACGTCAATTTTGTTTTATGAGAATGAAGTATCAAATCATCTTAGATTAATATAAAATTTGATATATATGATCTAAGAGATATGAACTTTCAATCTAACGGTTGGATTTACAAAATTCACATTTAATATAAAGTTATTGAGCGGTGTAACACTTAGTAAAAGTTACACCGGTGTCGTTTGAACCCTCCTCTATATATATATATATATATATATATATTTATATATAATTATTTTCAGTAGTAATTTATTTTATGATAATATTTATTTTTATATAAAAATATTTTGGAGAATATTATTGAAGGGAATTATTAGAGAAAGTTATTCAGAGAATATTTTGGACAAATTTATTAGAGGGAAGTTTATTTGAGGAAACTATTAAAGAAAAATTTATTAGATAGAAATTTTGGAAGGAAGAAGTTATTTTTTTTTATAGACACATACAAAAATATATATATATATATATATATATATATATAGATAGATAAATAATATTTAAATATTTTAGTAGGACTATTATATATATCAAACTCTCATATTATGTTGAATAATTAACGTGTGTTTGTTTATATTTGTGGATGATCATAAGCAATATATTGATTGAATTTTTTACCAATACTCACATTAATTTTGAATTGAGTTTCATTCTTCTATTTCCTTTATTAATGGGTGATATATAAAATATTCTATTACAAATTCTTCCTAAATCTCTCTTCACTGTGTAAAAGGTGTCTTTATTTAATTTAAACTTTATACATATTTTATTTTATAAATTATATGAATGGAGAATAATATATTATATGCATTTTTCGAAGAAGAGTGTTTTCTCTTTCAATTTTTATTTTTTTCATCGCCTTTTGTTAAGTCAAAAGACGATTTTAGATCCCTCAAATTATAAGTTTTAATGATAACAAACTTAGACGTGTTTTTTCTAGAGAAAATTTTGTTCGGATCATTCAATATGATGAATGGATATAAGACAAATATACTAAGACGATCAATTATCTTAACATAAAAGGTCTAACAGATGAAACACTTCATTTATAAGACATTTATTTTGAATTCATATCATTCAAGATATCTAATAACTAAAATCAGTCTTTGTGTACATGATTTCTTAATA